ATCCATGTCCGTTTAGACTCCAGACTTGGATGTCCTACAGTAGACTCGCACGCCCAAGAACGCGGTTTCAGAGGGCCAGCCTAGCAAAGTTCTTATTTTTCAGCGCCCCAGGCTACGTTCTTTTTTCGTGTTCTTACGCGTTCAACATGACCCGTGACGCTCATGTACAATGCACTTTGCGCTACATGTACCGGTTGTACACTTTACATGTCGCGTTCTTAAAAATCTTGGAGTTCGTTCTTAAATCCAGGCTGGGGCGTTCTTAGATTTCCAGCCTGGACGTTCTTGGGCGCCACGTTCTTGGGCTTACGAGTCTACTGTACTTGAACTGCGGTCTATGCAGCATATGATCATGAATGCGACCTGCTGAGACTAAACACAGGCCAGGCTCGCAATGTCTTTTACGAGCGTGCATAAATTGCTCGCGCTTCTAGGCGACTGGAAGAAGCAGACCCAGTATAGTAGTGAACACACGTACACGCACAGTAAAACCTGTCAAGGCGACCGCTCGGATAAGGCGACCGCCTGTTAAAGAAGACCATGCACTGGAACTGGGACCAATGGATGCTATTTCCAGTCCATTGACCCTGGTTAAGGAGACCACCTGGTAACAGAGACCCGGTTTTGAAGGTCCCTTGAGCGGTCGTCTTAGACAGCTTTCACTGTATGTTCACTAGTAGAAAGAACTGTAAACTGTGAAATTATTGCCATGGTCTAATTTCTGCGAAATTCGCGACCGCGTGGAAATCGCGAAATTTAGACAGCGCGAAAAGGAGATCCATGAAAGGGTTAGCAAGAATGCCACAGGTTTAGCAAGAATACCATTCTGCAATCGCAAAATTAAAACCTCGCAAACCTGTCCGGATTCTGAAAACGCGAACTAAAAACGCCGCGAAAATGTCACGCTTTGCAGTAACATGGATATGCTGAAACCAACAAAGGTGGCAGGTACAAAATGTACAGTCCATTTCAAAACTATAGACGCGCAGGGTTTTTGAATTATTTCAAATTTGGCTGGAACTTTTTGAGAATAGTTTTCGGAATATTGCTCAGGACCGCTCCACAATTACTCTCATATAGTTTCTAAACGATTGGATAACAGACGCCCAATTTGGAAAAAATTATGCACGAAGTGATCACAGATTTTATGTGGTATAGATGCTGGCATAACGATTTTTGCCTAGGTACGCGTCTATAGTTTTGAAATGGACTGTAGTATACCTTTGAATAGGGCTTGAAAGTGATGACGTCAAAAACGGCCAGGGAGTAGTAAGTTGACATCAGATTTCTATTTTGGATCCACTAAGGTGTGACTTTGCTATTGCCTCAGTATGTGGGTGCATAGCAACCAACTCATGTCGTATGCAGCCTGGGGTGACTTTTACTTCGCCACCAGTTGTAACCCCGCCCCCAGTAGCCAAATCAGTCAGTTTCACTGGCTACATCACCTTGCTGTGAGTAAGACGGCTTGAAATGTGCTTGGATCCATACAAAAACTGGATCCAAGTGGATCCAGTTTTTTGATTTTTTGAAATTGTTGCTATGCTGTGACGTAGCACTTTCAAGCCCTATAGTGACCTAATGGCACCAGACCCAAGCCACTATCCGCGGCATAAGTGTACCCACCAACTGAACTAGCTGCCGTGCACACACACACACACCACACACACACACCACACAAACACACACACACACACACACTCACTCACTCACACACCTTTTTGACCATTTGACGCCCATCGCCCGAGGCGATGATAGCGATGCCACAGCAGAAGCCATCGCAACTTGTGCTGGGATTGCACCATTCAACAGCACACAGACATACACACACACACACACACACACACACACACACACCACGCACACACACACACACACACACGCACACACACACACACACACACACACACACACACACACACCTCAGACCTCAGACATGCCCATCGCGGAAGCGATGATAGCGAACAGCTATGTTTAGACATGGCAACTTGTGCTGGGATTACACTATTCAACAGCCTGCAAGGCTGATGAATTGACCGCCACTATTTTACACACCCACACACGCACACACACGCACACACACACACACGCACACACAGACACAAACGCATTGACCAGCTTACAGTGGGTATTGATGACCATAATTTCCGCTAATGCCCTCAGATCCCTCTTCTCGGCACGAAGTAATGGTCGGATATTCGTGAAGATGTACGGTGTCGTTCCTAGTGATCTGGGTAAAGACATTGCTACAGTGTTTTTTGAACGCTCCAAGAAATCGCAGTGTTCAATATTTTCCCAGCAGTGTGGAGCTAGCGGCTGGGTGTTGTTGGTGATGACGAAGCTCTTAGCAGTGGGTCTGGGTTAGCGTGTGCTGCAAGAACACCGAGAAACGAACGAGACAAACAAGTGCAGGCATTCTGGACGAGCAGACGAACGCCGCTATGTCGGGCGAGCAGAGCTCGCGCAGCCATCGTCCCCACAAGCTAGCATGTAGTAAACCAATACGTACTAGGCAACACGCATCATGCCACAACATACAGTCATGCACAGTAGATACCTCCCTACCTTGCCCGCCTTCGACGACTTCCGCCTCGCGCAACACTGATGATCATCACCTGCTCCCAGTTCTTCACGATTCTCTGCACTCTGTGCAGAGAACACTTCGCGGCTTGGGTCGTGTGAATCCAGCTTGCCAGCACCATTCCGCCATAGCATGCACCGACCGTAACTATTTTAGCTTCGTCAGATTTGTGTCTGCTGCGTGCCAGTGCTACAGTACAGACACAGAGACCACTAGCGACTATGAGTATGACTAGTAGTAACTAGTATGATTCTTACTCTTAGTATGAATGCTGTGCATGCTGCATACCTTACCATTGCATACCATGACGGCATTGGGTCGGCCTTGCACCTCCGGCTAGGCTCCGCCAGTTTCGGGCGGGGAATCTGCATCAGTCGACGTCACTGAGAGTCCGGTCCGTGACTGACGCATCGACGTCGTTGTAGGCCGCTGCGTGTATCACTGTATGATTGTGCTGGTAGATCCACAACTAATATTACTTCTCTTGGTATGAACCAGGGAGTCGTATTTTACGACTCCCTGGTATGAACTTGTAGACAGCATACGACTCCCTGGTTCCGCCGCTCAGGGACAGTCATATGGGTTTCATGACTTCCTGGTTTACAGTTACTACCAGGGAGTAGTAAAAATTAATACATACTCCCTGGTTACTACTGTCTTTACACCATGGGCCGGCAGGGCCGGTAGATCTACTCGGCGGTACGGGTACCGGGTAGATCTACGGCCGGTAGCTATCTTCAGGTTTGCACAGCCAAGCGCACGGCATGATGCCGGCAATGAAAAACAACCACGCATTGGGAGTCTACACACGGACAGTGACGGAACCGGTACAGGCTGCAGTATTCTTCAGCAAAGACCATGGCGACCCCTAGACCTAGTCTAGACCTTCGCTTCCGAACGAAAAATGAATTTTGGTTGACCCCGACTTGAACCTCGCGTGTAGCTAACAAAATTTATAATTACACTGTACTTTACTTTCCATTATGTGACGTGGATGTGGCAATATGGGTCAGTGCATGTAGATCTGCGTCCGAAGAAGGAAGCGGTATGTGTGCTATTGACAACGAGCAAGCACCCTCTGCCTGGTGGATGAGATCGGCTGGCGAGCGCATGATGCATGCATGGTGGGGCGTTTGCAAGTACCGGTAGTTCTTGAACCAACCGGAGGCTGAGTGGAGACGCTATTCCCTACCGTCTCCATTTCAGAAAAGGTAAGGGGTCGAATTTGTTTAGCACCAGACTTTCCACATCAGCTGATCTCAGCATAGCTTTACTGTGCAATGTAGCAGGAGTCTTATCATATGATATATGAAATAGGTACGAGTCCTGACCAGAGAAATCCGACCTCAAGTCACGAAAATAATGATGAATAGTACCAAGAGTACATAATGCTAATGCTAATCCATAATGCTCTGATGCTCGGATAGTCGTATACTACCAAGAGTACATAACCCCCCAGAGTGTGCAACGCCGATCCAGTTCTGCATAGGGTCTTGGTCGAGCGGAATCGGATTATTATTATTATTATTTATTAAATTTTTAATAGGGCATTCCCACAGGCCTAAGGCCGATTCCACACTACACCAAATCCTGCCTAAAAAGCCATTTTCAGGCACTTTTCAGGCAAGTTGCCATGGCGATCACTTTGAGAAACGCGCGAAAGTGAAAAGTGCTTGTTGTCTACAAAGCAACACCAGCACCCTCTTTCAAGGCAACTTTTTACCTTTTCAGGACACTTTTCTGACTTTTCTTCAGCCTTTCGATTTTTTTCCGAATGTGTTCCCTGTCGTATCTTTCAGTTGTGGGCTGTCAACAATGCCTAGGGTCATGTTTAGCCAGGAGCTTGAGGGCAAGCTGATCGAGCTTTGGAACGGACATTTGAGGCGACCTCCGGGCGGTACAGTTCGCAGGAGCTACGCCGGAGGAGATCGCCATCAAGCTGAATTTGTTTGCTGAACAGCTCCGGGAGGAGGCAATCTATACTGCGTCGATCGTCCATTCCAAAATCGACAACATGAAAACGAAGGCGAAAGGACTGTACGAGACATACATGTACGCAACGAAAACTGCCACCGGAATGCCTGTTGGCGAGGTTGACAAATATTCGACCTATGACCTGGAATCCGCCTACACAGCGCGCGCGCTAGCGTGGTCAAATTTCAAGATTGGGCACGCGAAAATGGGTGATATTCGAGGATTTGGACCAACAAAGAGCCTCTCCACTACCGCCGTTGCTACATCAAGCACAGGAAAGCCTCACAGTCTAACCTTCAAAGCAAAGTCCCGTGATCGACACTTGTAGGTGTGAATGCAGCTTCACTTTATAAGCCACTTTATGCCTTCAAGGCAAAGCCACTTTCGGCGTAGTGTGGAATCGGCCTAAGGCCTTCTTACGGGGTACCCTATATGTTTTTGTATAGATGAGCGGAAGTCTGATAGCGCGGATCTTCTGATGTCATGCGTACAATCCACACCAGCGCAAGGCCAGTCTCGAAGCAGGGCACCGTTGTTTTTGATCCGACAGTACCCGCGACTCCCCGGGTTCCCCGATGAGGTGTACGGTATAATGACGCAAAGATCCGATTACGCTCGACCAAGACCCTATGCAGAGCTGGATCAGGCGTTGCACACTCTGGGGGGGGGGTATGTACTCTTGATAGTACAAGTCATGTACAATCATGTACTGTAAAAGCAGAAATTTTCGGTCACGAAAGACAAAGCCTGAAACACGATCATAGAGGTCTGGCAATACTTTTCGCCTTCATCAAGGCCTCGTGCGTACGGCCGGCCGCTGGCTCAGGCCTGCGCACGCGGCCTTGATGAAGGCGAAAAGTCCTGCCAAACCTCTTTGATTGTATACCTGTGTGAAACTTATAGGCCAGCTCTTACCGGTAAATCCTCTCGGAAAAGTGCTCTCCGAACTTCAGAGGTGATTGAAAATTGGAGATTCCCCGCGGTTTGGGATCAGCGCATGCAAACTACTGCAAAAGCCAGGTGTTGATCATGGGTAGGGTCCGGCGGATTCTGCCGGCAGAAAATTGGCAGAATTCGGTACTTTTCTGGTAAGTTTCATGCATGTTTGGTATGTGGATAAAGAAATGGAGCAGAATTCGAATTGCCCGCCATAAGGTTTGTATGGTTCTGCCAATTTCACTGCTTTTCGAGCAGAATCCACCGGTCCCTAATGCAAACTACTGCAAAAGCCAGGTGTTGATCATGGGTGTACGACATTCCCTTTTCGCATATACAGTACACAGTGCGTAGGTATACTGCATTCGTGTCACTTAAGATCGTGGTCTCTTAGGTGTTTCACATGTGCAAAATATCTCCGAATTCTTCGAGACCCGTTCCTAAATTATCCCAGTTTCTTGCAGGAGAAATTTCTCCGAGAAACTAGAGAAAATAAGAACGCTCCCTTACATGTACACGCAGTAGAGTCACGTGCCCAAGAACGTTGTTTCCAAGGGTTTAGCCTGGGACGTTCTTATTTTTTCAGCAATCTGGCTGCGTTCTTATAGCACATTCTTGTGGAAAAGCCTCTTGTACGGGCAAGAACAAAGTAATACAGCTAGCGTGTGTTGAAGAAGAAAATGAGCGGAAACGTACTATGCTGTGAAACACGCATGAGGCATGATCAGGGCAAATGACAGCTGAAAAGAAAAGGAAAGAAAACAAACACACACACACACACACCCACACACAACAACAACAAGTGCCATACGCATGAATGTTAACGGCCAACGCCAAGGCCGACACCATCGCAAATTGCCAGCCCACCGAGACGACGACGTGAACCCCGGAGACGAAGGTCGACAGCCCGGAAAACAGCAAACTGATGGTGGATCCGCACCCAGGACATGACGTTGCTGTAGGACTTGTCCCACCTGGAGGCAAGGCGCATAGCAAGTCGCCGTTGATACGCATGGTACTCTGTGTGCAGTGCACCATCAGTTGAGCAGACCAGCGGGGTGAAGGATGCTCGCAGCTCCTCTGCGGCCGCCTTGTACTTTCTCTTCTTGGAAGAGGCAGCACTGTTGGATACGGCGTTCCAAGAGAGGTTCGAGCGGACGTAGCTGGGTGCGTCGGCATCCACGATGCGGTTGTCAAAGTACGCCACCCTGTCTCCTTCCCAAACTCCCCGGACCAGCCAATCTGCCTGCAGTGTGGGGCGGTTGTTGCCATCCTGCACAGGTACCATCACCGGCTCGACAGCCACACCTCCCCATGCAACGTCTGCCAGCCGGGCATCGAAGTCGCGGACATCGTTGTGCCCGCGCTTGATGAGCCCACCCTTCATGCAATCCAGACCATGCTGTAGAGAGAAAGCAGCTCCACAGCCATCGCAATGCGACGGGAGAGCGTTCGGCTCCTGGCCATAGCGAATGGCCAACTGATCGCGGAACTGGACCGCCGACATGTCATAACCTTCCTGCTTGAGAGGAAGCACGGTCAACCAGCCGGAAACGTTGCCATCAACGATGCGGTTGAGGGTCCGCTGTTGGCGACGCGGAAGCGCAGCTCGGAGGACTTTCCTACGTTCCGTCATCTGCAGGTCTCGAGCACGGCTGACCTCGCTGGTGACTTGACGGCACTGGCTGATGTGGTGAGCCATGTCGACCGGTGCACCGGTGCAAATGGCAGCCTGCAGAATCTCAGTGGCGCGCTTCGATGTGGCATGAGCATCAGGGGCTGACGTAACGGGATTGGCCAGGCCGAGACCTCCCACTTTGGCTGGAAGGGCCAACAGATCTTGCTCAACGTCAAGCACCTCACGACCTAGCAAGCTGGGGGCGAATACGTGCCGGATAGTGTCCCGCAGTGGAGTATACTCGGTCTCGTTGCCTTCCAGCACACGCTGGAGGTAGGTCCACTCGCACGAGAGGGATCTCGTAAACGCGGAGTGTGCTGACTGCGGGTACGCCTTTGCTGCCTTGGCAAGACAGTTGACACCATCGACCCAATCACTCACTCTGCTACGGACAAAGGAAGAGACTCCCTGTGGATCACCAATGTAGCTACCCCATTCTTAGGCTGTGTTTACATGAAGCGTTTCAACCCGGGTCAGATTTCAACCCGCCATGTGCACAAAATGAATGGCGCGTTTACATGACGCATTGCGCTTGACCCGAGTTGATTTCAACCCTCCCCTAAGGGGAGGGTTGAAATCAACCTGGGTCAAGAAAATCGTACAAACGTACTTCTGTGCGTATCTCGCGCCAGGTTTGAACGGCACTGCAGATGCAAATTTCGCGCGAACGGATTCACGTGACCATACAGGACTGTAGAAGTGGACTTTTGGCGGCATATCAGTATTTGACCCGGATCAACTGTCTTCATGTAAACGCTCACCTCTTTTGTCTATCGTACAGACTTTCAGCCCGGGTTGAAATTTCTCATGTAAACACAGCCTTAGAAACAACACCGCCGTTCTTAGTATTTCAGGCTGGACGTTCTTCAGCGCTAGACTCGACTGTAGGCCATAATGCTGTCCCCCGTGGATTGCAGAGTTTCAGCAGAATCCAGAAAATCCCGCGGAATATTGCAGAAAAGAGAGGAAAACTGCTTTCCTGGTGAATTTTTATGTATTTCACAACCAAACAAACCTGCTTAGAGAATTGCCGCAGAATTTCTGATTTTCTGCAACGGAATTCCCGGGGCCGGGGGTCAGCATATAGAACGGCAAGAACACAATATGCAGACATCAGGTTCTGTCCCCACAGGATACAGCGATATTGCCGAATATTGGTTATCATCCGCGTTTTCGTGTTCTTGGGCATGCAATTCCACTGTACTGTAGGTTTTATTCTTGATGCTATTGGCAATTCCAGTCTAATGTAAGGCATGCAGGTGGTATTCAATGCCTTCAATGCAGATCAAACCAGCATCACAAACAGAGCACAAGAGAAACTGAGGTGGAACAACTGTATTTCTCTTCGCAGATGGTAGTAGAGCGACAAGGTGGTGTACAATCGGTTTACTTGGCAAGAGCGGCCTCCTCCTCGCGAATGCGATCCTTCTTGAGCGTACCCATGAAGGCGCGCTTCTCGGCAGCGACCTGGAAGCGACCATGGCCGAACTTGGACGAGGTGTCGATGAACTTGAGGTTGATCTTCTCACGTGCGACACGGCTGGTCTGGGCGAGCAGGGTCTTACGCAGAGTAACCACACGCTTCTTGGGTCCCATGATGCAACCCTTGAGCATGAGGAAGTCCTGCTTCACCTCACCGTAGTGGGGGAATCCACCCTGCAAAAACAGAACAGATGTTTCGTTAGGAGTATGATAGACAAAGTTGGCCAGCGTGTAAGGCGTTCGAGTGGGAAGGAAATGAGACAAACAAAGTGTTCCACAGCAACAGCAGCAAAAACAACAACCACAAACTTGGATGCCACATTTTGAAAACTGGCCTCGTCTTGGGACATTGAAGGCACAGGACACCAATTACGAGCAGTATTTGCACGCAGACGTACCATTGGGGTAATGGACTTGTCAGTCAAGTCGAAGCCAGTGGCGGCGTTGTTCTTGACAACCTTGTTACCATCCTGGTGGTATCCAGCGCCGACACGGTAGACCTAGGGACAACAGAGATAAGAGAAAGAGAATAGCATGAACATTTAGTTGACTAGCCAAGCAACTAAGTGAGAGAACACACAATGTAGAATGGAACAGGCTGTCAGACAGGAATATGTCGGTCATGAGGATCCGACTGGTACGGATGATGTCATCACACAGCAGTACGTCCAAAAGAGTAGGATGCAATGGACAAGGCACACAGCAACAATTGGGGGGAAAGACTCAGAAGAGATCACTATAATACAAAAAAAGTATAAACCAGGCATCATCCAGAAACTGAATGAATGGTCACAATCCCTACCCACAAGACATTGAAGGGTCACGGATGATCTTACCTTCTTGTTGACCTCGGTACGGTGATGGTAACCCTTCTGACCAGCACGGGCAACGGAGTACTGGACACGGCTAGGATGCCATGCACCAATACAGGCCACTTTGCGAAGACCCTTGTGAGTCTTACGCGGTAGCTTCTTGCAGTGCCAACGGGAAGTGACACCTGTGCACAAGGAGACACGCGTAAACAACCAAGCATTAGCATACGAGGAAATCAAGAATGAACTTCGATCATCAAAACAACCAATGCAATAACATCGCATGCTGATTGTTTTGACATAAATTATGCTCATTAATCCACACCACACATATAACATACATATTGGATCTGCATGCCCACTCACTCAAGAAAGGTGGGCGCATGAAGAACTTACAGTGCCGACCGTGGGAATCAGATATCACAATGAAGGCAAGCAACAATCGTAAGGTGCTTAGTCACTCACCCTTGAATCCCTTTCCGCGAGTAACTCCGATGACGTCAATCATCTCGTCTTGGCCGAAGACCTTGTTGATCGGCACGGGCTTCTCAAGGCGCTCACGGGCATAGTCGACCTTGTCTGCGATCGAACCACCGTTGACCTGGATCTCCATAAGGTGAGCCTTCTTCTGAGAAATGGGCACCAACTTGATCTGCAAAATACAGAGACAAAGTGGGATCAGACATTGATAGCACAGAAGCCAAATAAATTTCACTAACCATAAAGATGCACATCTTTCCATCCAAAACAACATACACCAATACAAAATATAAGACGCAAAAGCAAATTAGACGTACCTGGGTGTGGGCGATCAGGCGGATGACCTTGCAGTACTTCTTCAGTTTGGCGAAGTCCTGCTCGATGGAGCTCTTGCCTTCATCGGAAGTCCAGCGCTGGCTGGCCTTGCAGAAAGCCTTTTGCTTGGACTTGCACCTTTACATTGCGAGGCAGTTGATAGCAGAGCGAGGGCAACGACGATGGGGCCACCCGCACGACATCATTAGACACATGCACGGGAAGAAACAGGCACAGCACGTCAGCAAACTCATCAGCCATGCTAAGACAACCAGCATGTTGAGCGGAGTTTGACTGTTGTTCCACACAATGGGAAAACAGAGACGTCAGATGCTGTGATTACAGTATCACAATCTACCAAACTCAAATGAAAAGACAATCACCCATATCAATAATACTGTGGGCGTTTCTGATGCACATGGAGGAGTATTCTGTAATCTGGGTGGGCATTTGGATCGTGAGTGGATAATGGCCTAAATCCGGAAATGCGAGTCAAACTGGGATAGCCAGCAACAGGTATGGTAGGTCTCTTTCGTTTCAATATTTTTTAATAAAAATAACACATCTTACCAGTTCTTGTAGAATCGGCGTCTGCATTCGTCACTGAGATGCTCAGCCCAGACGGTCTTGAAGGTACGCAGACCGCGCGGGGTGTCGATGTAACCGACAACACCGACAACGATCATCGGGGGAGTCTCGATGATGGTGACGGCCTCGACGACCTCCTTCTTGTGGTTGCCTGTGCAAATGTACGCACGCACGCATCAAAAACAAAAAAGACAAGTCTGTAAAGCCCATCGAAGCCAGACATTACAACATACAACGGAATCTGAAAGGGGAACACTACGGATCACACAATGACACATCGATTATCGCATTGGCAAATGAAGGAACTAGGAGCCAGGAGGCCAAAGAAAGGCAAGACAAAAAAGGACGATTGCAATGGGACAAATTTTACTTGATTTTGCAAAATACAAATTTGCAGCAGAGATGGATCCAAACCAAACGATAGGAACTTACGAGAACCAGGCTTGTCCACCTCACGGACGATGTGTGTCATACCAGCCTTGTATCCAGCGAAAGCTGTAAGATGGCATGGCTGGGCAGTGTCATCACGGGGGAAAGACTTGACCTTGCCACGATGGCGAACAGCACGCTTTCGCGGCAAGAAGCCGAGCGAACCGTGGCGAGGAGCCTCAAATTTACGGTGAGACTACATGGAAGAAACAACACATACATACCATCACCAAAAGTCAGCCTCAGTTTGCCTCCATTGGAAGATATCAGGGAGATCGTGGAGGAGCAAGAAACTCACCATCCTTGTTGTTTGGATGCCAAGAAGAAGAGAAACTTGACGTCACAAAGCGAAACCTTTATTTTCCCGACGGAGTATTTTTTCCGACGCCATCTTGAAAAACACATGCGCCATGCACATGTATGTGCATGCGCGCGGCCGCGGGCGCCGGGCTTACACGTACGTACGTACATGTCTTGTGCATGACGTCACTTTGCCTATTGACTTTTTTGTGTATTCTCGCGGTAATTTTTCCATCTTGACTTCGTGTGTGTTTTGCTTCAGACTTTTGTTTCTGGACCGTCTTCCAGGTCTTCAGTCAAGAGTGCATTATGGACTCTTGCTTCCGTGCATAGTACAGTGCCCACTACTAGTAGCAAGAGCAGAGGGGACTTTCACGACTCCCATTAATTTTGGTTTTGTTTCGTGCAAAGCGACGGATAATCAATGCTATCGATCGTATTCATGTGTGCAGCCGCACTGCAGGCTGTGCAGCGACAGCTCAGGTATTACATGGAATTTTTCATCTCGGGACGAGTCGTCCCGAGATGAAAATGCGATGGACTCAGATGAAGATTTTCAATTGTAGTTGTGTTGCTGGGAGCAATTTACATTATGCAAATAGGCTGTCCTGTCCTATGGGCAGGTGAGAAGGCATCTCTACCTGTTCATTTGGTGAAGTAAAATAAACAACAACAACAAGTACTAGTAGGCTATTTGTATTATTTCTCGTATGCCAGTACGTGTACATGTACAGGTACTGGGACCGGTAGTACAGTCATGCACAGTCTCCAATACCAGTACACTGTATTCTAGTGGTTTCATTCATTCATTGCATTCGAATGAATTCTGCCTGTACTGGCTGTAGTCTTTTTTTGTAGTCAGTGGTTTGCATGGGACCAGTCTAGAGCAGGGAGTCGTATATATACGACTCCCTGCTCTAGAGCTTGTTTTGACTTGGAACCATGAACGGCTACGTGGATGTGTGTGCGTAATGTAGACAGGCTATGAAGACCACTGTACATGAATCTTGTTTTGCCCGTGCCATGAACGGTGATAAAGTGTAAAGCGAACACCCTGATCACTCACGTACACTGTGCCGTACCAAACACTCTACAGTGCGTGTGTGTGTACGTGTGTGTGTGTGTGTCACAGTGTGTTCCAGAACTGTAGAAAAGGAACACGACGGTTCCGCTGTGACAATGATTCTCGGTACCGTCTATAGTGTAGGTTTGACGTTCGTCCGTCCGTGCATGGCTCTTCTACTGTAGCGGAAAAGCGAAGCAAAACAAATGATCAGGGAACCGTGAACCTGTGTTGGTGTTTGGGCTTGGTGGACGCTGACTGGGAGACTATTACCGGTGAAGAACGCAAACAAAATAGAATATCTAATATCATACTAAAATGCATCGCAAGCATAAACATGAAGAAGTTGGATGCTTCCAACCTCTACGTTCAATTCGTACGAAATATATGTACGAACTTGAAAATAAAATATGTGTACATAAAAATATAGAATGTTAGGTAGGAAACTGGCATGCTATGATCAGATGATAACTCTTCAGTTACAGACTATAGTAGTGCAGGTCACACCGAGTGCCGGTAGTTCAAACTAGACCGTGAGGATAGAGCCTAGCCCGGCATGAGTACTTGGAGTAGTCCTGCCTGCCGCTATGCAGGTACAGTACTATGGCTAGGACTTTGTCATTACGTCATTGCTGTTGCTGATGACATCATCAGCTGGTTAGTATCCAGCCTGTCACATAGGTTTTCTCTGTTGCTGGTCGTGGTACTGTGCCGGGTTGGGAACTCGACCATGTTGTTGATGGCTTTGTAGAAACTGCGGCCGGTCTCATAGCTGCTCGCGGAACTGCTCTAGAATACCGCGAAAGGCGCGGACACACTGCAATGGAACACACGTGCACACGCAAATACACACACACACGCCCGCACATGCACGCACACACGGATACAGTCCAGAAGGAGAACTCAAACAGTCAAACACATTCATTATTTTATCACATCTGGCAATACCCGACATGGTATAAAAAGGAAATTTCGGTGATAACTGATAACTGACAAGATACGTGACGAGACTCCAACAATATCGTGTAGTTTGGACTCTTTCCAGCTGCAGCTTCATGATGAAACAAGGTACCGTATCTTCCACAGAGTACAGTAAGACCTGTCAAGGCGACCACTCGGATAAGGCGACCACCTGTCCTGGAAGACCACTGAAACCAGGAGCAAGGGATGCTATTTCCAGTCAAATTAGGCTGGATAAGGAGGCCACCTGGTAACAGAGACCAGGTTTTGAAGGTCCCTTGAGCGGTCGTCTTAGACAGGTTTCAATGTATAAGCCGCACTGGAGTATAAGCCCCCCCCCCATGTTTTGCCACAAAATACAGACATTTACCCTACTTGGCATCGTTATTTCGATCATCGGAGTTTAAGCCGCACGCCCTGGGAGGGGGGATTTGAGCGTTCAAAGTGCAGCTTATACTCTGGAAAATACGGTACATTTACGTTTTGGGCCAGCAATAATGACTTGTCAGCTTTCTGATGATGATCTAAGACCGAAATATTGAGCAGTAACAGAAGCTTTGAGTGAACAGCAGCGCAAATTTATTTGTAGCGATTAGGTCAGGAGTCGACATATTGGTTTTTTTAAGGTGCATTTTTTACACGGTTCGTGTTAGACTCGGCTAGACTGAGTTTTCAGTATCCATAGGAACGCCACCATCCTCTTGGATCAAGGCGCAGATGCAGATGAAGGCACGTGTCATTTTTTTTACAAAGCTGTGGTCAGAGCTGGGGCGTACACTTGACACCATGCATTCATACATAATTTTGCTGCCTGTCAAGTTGGGAGCTTCATGCGTATAGCAACACGACGAAATGAACGTTCTATCATGTATTCTCAGCGGCGCGTATCGGGCACGTACATGCCAGTTACTTTGGTGGCCAGGGTTAGAAAATTAGCACTCCAAGGTGTGACAAGCCCAGAAACACAACTCGAACTGCAGTTTTTTTGTGAAAGCCTGAACACGCGTTTGCGCACGTATGAACTGCATGCGTACCCGTGTACACATGCCAGTTATGAACATAGCTGGAATGTTCTAACCCTGTGACGTCAAGTCTCTCTGTGACGACCTTACCTCTTCCCGCGGCAGACACTTGCCAAACGCTTGGGTGAGTAGCCTGTCTTTCCCTGTGGCCGCTACAAAATCCGACTCTGAAACGCGCCCATCCCTGTCGATATCCTGGAGAGGGAGATGGAGAGGGAGGGAGAGAGACAGACAGACAGAGAGACAGAGAGAGAGAGAGAGAGAGAGAGAGAGAGAGAGAGAGAGAGAGAGAGAGAGAGAGAGAGAGAGAGAGAGAGAGAGAGGCAGAGAGAGAGAGAGAGAGAGAGAGAGAGAGAGAGAGAGAGAGAGAGAGAGAGAGA